TACTACTACTACTACTACTACTACTACTACTACTACTACTACTACTTACTACTACTATATACTACTACTATATACTACTACTGCTACAGCTACCGCTACCGCTACCGCTACCGCTACCGCTACCGCCGCCACCACTACTACTGGTAGCCACTTTCCCTTCTAGCTTCTTCTGCTGTAGATCTTCTTTGCCTAAGTCTCTTCCTTACAAGTTCATTTACGGACCCATGACTCTGCTGCTAAAGTTGCTGTAGGAAGGTCTTATTATGCCTGACATCGCAGCAAGATTTGAGTCAAGTGTTGTCAGAACCCAGCTCAGAAACAGCCAATTCAAAGCCCCCACGCACCACCCCGGCAATCGAATCTCATCGTTGAAGAGAATGTGCTATACAGCACGGCTGAGCCATTCCTAGAGCCATGTTCGTTCCTGAAGCCAAGGTCATTGGCCATTCAAAGACCATCAGGGGTTAGGGCATTTGTCTGCAATAAAGTCAGTGATGTAGCTGCACTGGCACAGTCCATCAACGGGGGTCAGAGCCTTGGTCAGTGACCTGCAGCCGCGCCCGGCGCCCGGCTGCCACAGCTACCCACACCATTCGCCCAGGGGAGTCCCTCCGTGCACCATGAAGAGCTGGTGGTGTGAGTAGAAGGAGCTACGGATACTCCATGATGCTGCCATTGAAAGGAAGGGCAAGGTGCCTCAGTCTGCAGGAAGGGCAGGGTGGGGCTTCGTTCGTGGTGCATGAGTGGCATTGGTGTGGTGGGGTGGATCGGATCGGGGTTGGGGTTCTAGGGGAAGAAAGGGGGTGTCTGGAAATAGCAAGGCTGGTAGAATCTGGTTGACAAAAAACACATCCCATCCAACTTGTACCAAACCGGCAGGAACACACGCCGGTTTGGTATCCCGGAAGTGTTTCTTCTGGTGGTGTGGCAGGACTTCATTCATCATCTAAATGACAAAGTTATGCTTGCCAAAGAGACTATAGCGGCCAACTTTGGCAATAGTTGGTAATTTGCATATGTTTGCATCAAGTAAACCAAGAATTGCTCTCACTCTCAGCATCAGGGCTAGTTCAGCCACCCATCATAGAAACTAGTCTCCTTCTAGAATTGTAGGAATCCGACTCAACCATACGACCAAGGACCCCTCCCGTGTCTCTCTCTGCAGCTTTCCCGTCTCCAAAAAAAAACCATCCGTCCGAGAAAAGGCGCAGCTCTATATCGCCATACATCGACTATATGATACGTACTACACTCCCGAAAACTAAAATGGAAGTGGAAAACACCCCGTTTGTAGAGGAAAATGGTCTTCCAAGAGGCCATTCTCCACTTCCATGTTAGTTTGTGGGAGTGTATATATCTTATATACCTTAGCTTGGATGAATTCTATCCCCACTCATGTTCGTCTTCTCCATCTGAATCACCGCCCCCCCAAGCTTAGTAAGAGCTTTGGACCTAACTTGCGTAACTTGCCATGTCTCCGACGCTTCTGTGTTCCCTCCTTCGAGTCTAGTCGCAGGCGCCCGCCAGGGCGGCCGTGTGGAAACCTGCCGTGTTCAGACGGGCGGGTCGGGTGGGTACGGTTCCAGTGACTCCAAGCAGCAAACACATGGCATGACAGCTATTCCGTGTCACTCAGTGGCAACTAAGTATACATCTATACTTCGGGTCTTCTGAGTGGTAGCACTGCACAAACTGGCAAATTGGCTCTGGATCGATATTGCTTGTGTGTGTGCGCGATATCATATGGATTGAACATGATTGAACGTACATGAAAGGATGTATATGAAGTGGCCCCGAAGATCGGAGTCGCCACATAGCAATGATTGACCAGGGCGAACCCTGACATAACCCAAAAGACATACATTAATGACCATGAAGACCACACTCTTCAAACGTCCATCTGAAGCAGATCAACCCCAAAAGAAGAAGCAAACAATGAGGCAATAGCCCGGTCTGCCGAATTCTCGGAACCTCAGGATCGGTGACCAAACCGTGCGGTGGAACCCTTCACCTTTCCGCGTGGGTTCCAGCCACTTGAATCCCAAAGTGGGAAGTCCAGTTGGCTTGACCCTGGAACGGTCATGGTCATGGCGAAAAAAGCTGGTCTCAGAGTTCGATGACTCGAAATGATTGACGTTCCCCGACGTAAGGGAAGGCTTATTCTGTCGCAACAGCCCTTCCTCAGTTCCGAAATGAGATGCAGTAATTGATCATAATTGACCGTATAGTTCTTGGGATTTGGACTTCAAACCTGTGGCTTTTCATGGTGTTCTTTTAGATCCGCCTTGCAACCGCTCCCCCACTCTGCAACCGCACCCACCCGATCCCACCCGGACCACCCACCTGCAGGCCGGTCATGCGCCGGGACCAGAAGCCCAAGGCCCAACCTGGAACGTGACATGAAGCACCTGGAATCAGCATGACATATGGGTATGTACTGGAATTGGGAGACCTCCCAGGCGTTCCGACCCCGGAAGGATAGTATCTAGTACATAGATGTACATAGGGCGATCGGGGGTCTATTGAAATACACACCCGTATCGTCTACATTCACCTCCCTTTACCACCCAGGCACGTGTCGAATGATGGATTTCTTCGATCGACTGGGGTCGTGGGAGTAGGACGTCTACGGTTCCGACGCTTCCGCATGGTTGACGGATGAACAAAACCCAAGGAATTTGCGATTTGAATTCGCCAACATCTCCTTGCATCTCCAGATATGATCATTGATCAAAAGTTCAACATTAGCAAGTCACCAGCAGAGGGCGAGGTGATTGTAGATCTGAAGGCATATCGCCCGATCCACCGTCCCAAATCACCCTTCATGGCCGAGGTGATCATCAGGCGTACCAGTACATGTCATGACCGCCTTCCAAGAGGCCAGGATACCTGAAATGCTTTGGGGGCCTGGGGTGTCCACTTCTAGTAACTATAATACCTCTCCCACCTATCAAAGCGCACGGCCATCGCTGCAGGAACGCCCGACGCCGCAATGGGCGCCACCACCCTGAAGCACGTGGTGCGCGACGTCGGGAAACTGGGGCGCAGCTGATAGAAGGTCCTCCGAGTGTTTGGTTGAACAAAGCATCTGTATGCGTATATGCCTATAGAAGTTGTGTTGTAAGAAGGAGCCCTGGCCGGGTGATAAGAAGTCAAATTCACACCATCTTCAAAACCAAAGCCTTTACAATGGTACGAGGTGGTACGAGGTCGCGAGGAGGGGTCGTCGTCTGGACCCACCACAAAGTTTTGCATTCGGAAAACACCACGCACAAAATTGAAGGTTCTAGCGATCTGGAGAGCCCAGAAGGAAAAACTGGTGACACTTGGCCTTCGTGAAGTCCAGAAATTCCTTTTGGGGTCCCCAAAGGCAATGGAATCCATGTCCTACTAGTGACTTGTTGAAGGTCAACCAAAGTTGGGGTACACCCAGACAGTCTGGAGAAAATCTTACATCAACATCACCCAAATGGAAAGAGTTTGGTGCACCCCCACCCCGACCGCGTCCCCATTCGGTGTCGGGTCCGGTGCCCCATTGAGCCGCAGAACCACTGCGTGGCCTGCGTGGTGTCGGGTCCCTCGCCTGAAGAGTATGGTGCCGGTCCTGCTGTAGGCCGCCAAGCAGCCCAAATCTCGCCTCGGTAGAGCGGAACCTGATCCGGAGCTGACCCGATCCTGGTAGACCGGATGCAGCATGATGACGAACAACGTACAGTCATGACCCCACACACTATACGATTTTTGGACAGGTCCAACACGTACGAGTCTCAGTATGGACAGTAGTTATTATATATGTTTATAATTCCCACACACACACACACACACACTCTTAAATATGGACGTCCGTGTTCTTCATATGGACGTCGTGTTCTTCAAAAGACTCGTTCAATCTGGACGTCCGTGTTCTTTGTTCTCCTCATCTGAATCCCTCGTTTTCCTCGTCTACACCAGTGACTCACTCGACACCGACAGTCCGAGCGCCGACGGTCCGAGCGGTGCCGTGCACCGGCGTGGGTCTGAAAAGGGTCGAAGAGGGGCCGAAGAGGCATGGAGACAAGCCACGAAGAGGGGCTTCAAAAAAAGAAGCAACCAACATTAGGCAAACCGCGTGTTCAATCACGTATAGGCAAGTGCAAACTGGACTTGTATTTTTTTAAGATCCCGAATATGCTAATTCCTGGGACTGGAGGAGGAGGAGGAGTGGATCATTGGGGATCCTTCCTTGCGGGTGATTTTAAGATGTTGTTCCCCACCTGCCAGGTGAGGGTTGTTAGATTGTATCACAGTTGTTCTTCCTCCGCCTCCGCCTCCGCCGCCTCCTCGTCCTCCTCCTTCCTCCTTCCTCCTTGCTTCCTTCCTCGCCAATCTTCATCGCCAATCTGCTTCGCCGATCTTGTCTGGCCAGCTCCGGATCGCAGTGTGCACCCCTGGACCTCAACCGCAAGGATCCCCTCGCAGTGTGCACCCCTGGACCTCAACCGCAAGGATCCGATCGCAGTGTGCATCCCTGGACCTCGACCGCAAGAATCCGATCGCAGTGTGCACGCCTGGACCTCAACCGCAAGGATCCGATCGCAGTGTGCACCGCTGGACCTCAACCGCAAGGATCCGATCGCAGTGTGCACCGCTGGACCTCAACCAGATAGTTTGCCAGATAAAATCCACAAACACACAATCAGAAACACACGACCACAAACGCGCAACCACAAACACACAACCACAAACACAATCACAAACCCACAAACACAATCACAAACACACAACTACAAACACAACTACAAAGACACAATCACAAACACA